TTTGAATTTTTGGAAGGGATCTCAAGGTTATATACCACTATAGGTTTTTTTCATATTTAAATTTTTAATCCATTTGGAATTTCTTGGAGGACATGAGACACGGATCCACTTAACTCTCCTTTTTAACAAGTGGCTTATTATGTCAGCACTAGTTTTTGAACTCCTCCTTTCTCTACTGATCTGTAAGAGCACCTTTATCATATACTGAGTTTGCCTACATCTATTATACACTCATTTTTATTTACATTTAGGAAATTTTCCGTATCAGCAAAAATTCCTGAAACCAAGTGGTGTCAGAAATGCTGTGTTGGTAAGTGACCTGTCCAGTGACGGAAGTTCCCTGGGTTCCACAGTGGCTAAGAAAACCCCATTTCATTTTTTCACTTTTAAATCTAGTTTAAAACAGTACTAGTCCAGAGCATTCTGCCAGTAGTAGTTCATCTCCCCTCAAGTAAAACAGATTTAGATCTCTTGGCCATTACCTTGTACTTGGCAGGTGTTTAGCAAATGATTTGGTGACTAGAGAAATGGATGACTTTTTGTGTTGCCACACTGCGTCCTTAACTGGATGCTAGTTTTAGGGAGGAGAATGGCAGAACATGTGAGCAGTTAGGTTAGAGATAGAGCATGAGAGGCCTCCTGTAAACATGTGCTATGCAGTGGGGAAGAAGGTCTTGAGCTACAGAAGTAGCAGCAGAAATTGAAAGGAGTATCCAGGACTGAAGGGGAAAGATACCAGAGAAGACTAAGACCTCAACCCCAGAAGACTGGCAGGATGGCAGGGTGTCATTATCAGGAACAAGAAGAGCTACTTAATTAAGACAAAGGAGATGACAAGATTAGGTTTAGACATGGTGGTTTCAGTAACTATTAGAACATCCAGCAGACTGACTTAACTACAGGAGTAGAAAGGGGCTGGGTTTTTCTTCTATTTGCTTTGCCTGGGTGATTTTGCTGTTTACCTCCTCTCTACCATTTAAATATTTCAAATCTATGTGAAGTTTGTGGATTTTACTGTTCTTTTTACTGTTTAAATTTTTTGTCTTTATTTCAAATAGATTCACTTTAACCAGAAGAAAAATACAAAATATGAAGCAATACAATTTTATTGCTTTTAAACTTGTATTTTACGGTTTGCTTACTGTCTATAATGCTTTCTAGTAACCAGAACAGTTTCATAAAAAGGAAGGAGATGGACAAGTGTTTTATTTTTAGAAATAGAGCGTTATTGCCACCGAATATTACTACAAAAACGCCCTGTGAACCACCTAAGTGTGTTGTTGTATCCTATCATTTTGACAACTTTCCCACAAATTTAGTCTAACCCTTTTTTTTCGGATGTTGCTATGTTAGTGTTCCCTGGAGCCCTCTGTTCTTTGACAAGCTAAACTGCCATGTCTGAGCATGGGGTGCTGTACCCTTACATTGTTACTCAGCTAATTTCTGTGTTACAATAAGATCTAAAGTCCTTCTCCCTGGTCCCCCAACCCCATTATAACTGGAGGTTTTATTTGTGCATACAAATAAAAATCCTGTAGATGTTGAGGACATTTCCTGCTATTACCTGAAACAGCATTTATTTTTCACTTTGCTGTCTAATTAAGAAATCAAACTGGCATCTAGCTTTTGTTTCTGTTTTGAGCATGGAACTATAATTATAAGGACTTTGTAGGTATTGTGAGAGAACTCATATTTACTTTTTTGCCTTGACAGTGAGAAATCCTTACACAGGCCATAAATACCTATGCGGGGCACTGCAGACTAGCATCGTTCTATTAGAATGGGTTGAACCAATGCAGAAATTTATGTTAATTAAGGTAAGCATGAAAGCCAACCTGTCACATTCTTTGTATAAAAGTTTGTCAACTTTTCTATTCTTTAAAAATACATTTTTTTAGTTCTTCAGTTAGTGATTATAGTGATTTTGAATTACATGGTAGGGTGTGAAAATCTGCCCAATTATAAGGAACTCAATTGGCTTGATAACAGTTTTCAAAGAATCTAGAGAAATAGTTCAGGGGTATGGAATTAGGTTGGACAGGTGACTTATAAAGCTCCCTTCCAGCTTTCATATCTTAAAATTGTGTGATTTTAACTTTAAAATTTTTTACAGTGATAAACCTACAGTCTTCTTAAGGATACTTCCTAATTTTGATTTTTCTGCATACCTTGAATTTTTGCGACAGGAAGCAGTCTTCTTAGTACAATAGACTTGAATAAAACAAAATTCTTTGCAGTATTCTCATAGAATTATTTGGCTTTTATTTTCTTACATTTAATGTATTTTTTTTTTTCTCTTTCACTAGCACATAGACTTTCCTATACCTTGTCCACTTAGATTGTTTGAAATGCTGGTAGTTCCTGAACAGGAGTACCCTTTAGTTTGTGTTGGTGTCAGCAGAGGGAGAGACTTCAACCAGGTGGTTCGATTTGAGACTGTCAATCCAAACTCTACCTCTTCATGGTTTACAGAATCAGGTTTGTGATTTTTATGGAATTACTACAGCCAATGCATATGCTGGTTTTCTAAGTCATGAGTTTGCAATGTCTCTTTTTAAGCAAAAACTATATAAAAAGCCTGTCTTCGATAACTATAAACTGGAAGAGGATGACTTATACCTAACTCATTTGGTACGTGTAAAACAATTTGACCAAGCATGTACATTGAGAGCACATACATCAATTTTTATGTTTGGTAATGAATATGGTAAGAATCTAATCCTCAATGGCCTGTATTTGGTGCATATTAATAAACAATTTTGCAGGACACATCTCTTACTATAAAATAAGATAAATACCTGAGTCATTTTATGGTTTTTTAAAAAACATGACACAAAATATGGCATTTTAAATAACACAGTTTATCTTGAAAGTCATTTTATACAGGGAGCAATTAAAGTCATACTTGTATTAATCTTACTTGGAAATAATTGCATATGGCCAATTGAATACCAGTTAAAACACTTTCCCTCAAGGCTCAGTGCCTATAGCTCAAGCAGCTAAGGCGCCAGCCACTTACACCAGAGCTGGCGGGTTCAAATCCAGCCCATGCCTACCAAACAACAATGACAACTACAACCAAAAAATAGCCAGGTGTTATAGCAGGCACCTGTTGTCTCACCTACTTGGGAGGCTGAGGCAAGAGACTCACTTAAGCCCAGGAGTTGGAGATTGCTGTGAGCTGTGAAGCCTTAGCACTCTACCCAGGGCAACAGCTTGAGGCTCTGTCTCAAAAAAAAAAAAGCACTTTCCCTCAATAAAAGTAAATAAGTTAATGTATATGCAAATATTTTTAATACATCATACGTTTTACATTTATTTTTTATTTTTGTTCTATTTTTTTCAGAGTTATTTTTTAGAGAATTTTGTTAACATAGGAAAGATTTAAAACAAATGTATTAAAGCGTATTAACATGGGAAATATTTAAAAGTGTAGGCACTTAACAATTTCATAAATGTCAAAATTTTTAGATATTTTATGTGATTTTAAATAGTATATCCCTGAAAATTTATATAGTACATAGCTCTATTTGCCCTGCCTCTTAAGGTGATGTTCCCTTTTTAATCCCAGTCACTCACTTTAGTAGGAGTGTTGGTGAGGAGATCATTGAGTATTCAGTACATACCACTGATGCCTAAATTTGAGCATGCGTCAGAATCCCTGGGACACCCATTAAAATACATTGCTATGCCTCACCCCAGAGTTTCTCAATCAGTCGATCTAGAGTGGGTCCTAAGAATTTTCTGTAAATTCCCAGTTGATGCTGGTGATGTCGATACACGAATCATAGCGTGAGAACTACATGTAGTGTACACAGATCTCAGGCTAACAGCAAAGCTGATCTTTTAAAAACCAAAACAGAAAAGCTGCATTATAGAATGTTTGAAGCATAGTTTGTTTTCTAGTACTGTCAGCCCTGCATATCTGTGAGTTTTACATCACAGCAGCATTGACAGTAGCTAACATTTGCAGTGTTGAAAAATTACATGGTTTAGTACTTGCATCAGCATTTGAACCCAAGTAGTCTGGCTCAGCTACTATGTATGTGTTATAAAAATTTATATCCATTTGAAATACTATTACCATTAAAATTCTTTCTCTTAGGCTCGGCGCCTGTGGCTCAAGCAGCTAAGGCGCCAGCCACATACACCCAAGGTGGCGGGTTCGAATCCCCAGCCCGGGCCCGCCAAACAACAATGATGGCTGCAACCAAAAAATGGCCAGGCGTTGTGGTGGGCGCCTGTGGTCCCAGCTACTTGGGAGGCTGAGGCAGGAGACTCGCTTGAGCCCAGGAGTTGGAGGTTGCTGTGAGCGTGATGCCATGGCACTCTACCCAGGGGGATAGCTTGAGGCCCCGTCTCAAAAAAAAAAAAAAATTCTTTCTCTTAAATATTTCTGTGCTTTAAATATTACAATTTTCTGTAAGTTTACCAAGCTTTGTTTGTGTTATAGATACCCCGCAGACAAGTGTTACTCATGTAACCCAACTGGAGAGAGATACCATTCTTGTATGCTTGGATTGTAAGTTTTTATTTATGAATGTCTTATTTTAATAAGACATTTTTAATCTTCATTTCTGAGTGACTTTTTTCCCTTCTAGGTTGTATAAAAATTGTAAATCTCCAAGGAAGATTAAAATCTAGCAGAAAATTATCATCAGAGCTCACCTTTGATTTCCAGATTGAATCAATAGGTAAATCAAAGTTTTATGTTTCTTTGCATTTTGAACTGCTTAGAATAATTTATTATCTGAAATTATAGATATAATTAAGGACTGATTTTTCTAAAATATAGGCTATAATAAATACTGGGTCTTACTATCCTTCACTTTTATACATTCTCCAAAGTAGTTTTTTAGTAATGTTCTTTTCCTTGCAGATTTGGCATTTTCAAAAGAAATAGTTAAATATCATTTCTCAGCTAGGCATGGTAGCTGTGCCTATAATCCCAGCACTTTTGGAGGCAGGGATGGGAGAATCATTTGAAGCCAGGAGTTCAAGACTAGCCTGGCAACATAGTGAGATCTTCGTCTCTATGAAAATTTTTTTAAAAAACTTAGCCAGGCATGATAGCTTATATCTGTAGTCCTAGCTACTCAGAGGCTGAAGTGGGAAAATTGCTTACCTCAAATCTTAAGTCCCAGGTTACAGTAAGCTATGATCATGCCACTTACACTCCAGTCTGAGCAACAGAGTGAGATCCTGTCTCAAAAATAAGTAAATATTATTTCTCCTAATATAGTTATGAATTCCCATTTCTTTCTGATCATGGAGAGTTTCCCTGTAAGCACTTTAAAATTTAATATTTAGTGTACCCTGTTGTATTTTTGCTGTTATACTTGCTGACCAGAAAATCTATGGGATTTCCTTGCCATTTTTTAGCATTTTGCTGGATAAGAGTTTTCTCTGGAAAAGCATTTCTGACAGAATTAGTATTCTAAAATGATTATTTCCAGGAAAAATAAGGTGAAAATGATCATATATAGGATAATGCTAGAAAAATGAATGATAATCAGTTTAAATGTATACACATTTTCTGGTATCCTTTATCCATAGAATAAAAAGTCAGCAGAGGGTAAAGCCAAGGGCAGACAGTTCTCTTGTCTTTTTCCTAGTTCTGTTTTCTTTAGCTAGAATGTCCCTCACCCAACAAACAAGTGATAATCGTAAGTCAATTTGGGAGGCATCTGATTCAAGGTATTAAAATGGTATCCATGCTTAAAAAGACATAGCAAGGGGTCAGAAACCAAGGCAAACAATAGAAACTCAAAAAGCAGCGTTCAGGCCTAATGCCAGCAGGCCTGCTGGGCTTAGAGTGTAGAAGTAGACCACAGCTGGGCTCTTGAGTGATAAAGAAAACTGAAAATGCCCCAGGGGAGACGGGAAACCATAGCCAGGCTCCTCCTCTGATAACTAAGCATGATGTCTTCGTAGGTGATTTTTACCCACCCTTAATGAAAGGGAAAATCCTATCCTAAGCACGTTGTTTCAGATGGTAGACAAAGAAAAAATTCTGAACAAAAATCAATGTTTAACACTAATGCTGAACTCAAATAAGATTAGCGCAGAAAACAAAAATGATGATCTAATCCTAATGAAAATTGTTTTTTAAAAAATGTAAATACACGTAAAATATTAGTGACTGGGATTGTACATTATCAAATAATAGATTTATCCCAAGAAAGCAAAGACAGTTCAGCATCAGAAAATGCATTCATGTAATATACTACACTACTAAAAGAGAAGAATCATATACTTCTTCTGTAGATACATAAAAAAGCATCCTATATAGTCTAAGTCATTAATGATTTTTTTAAAAAATGCTTCTTAGCATATTATGAATAGCAGGAAATGTCCTTTACTTACCAAAACCTATTAAATATACCATGTTTAATGGTCAAACTAACTTCTGTTAAAGTAGAGAACAAGATAAAAATTGTTTGCTATTATTACATTTTAGCATTGTCTCATTAGACAAGAAAAAGGAATTATGAATATTAGGTGGAAAAAAGTAGATTCTTTTTTGTTGATAATAAGATCATCTACATAGAATATAAAACTATAAATTGCTAGAGCTCATAAGAGAATTCAAAGTTGTTAGAAGTAGCAGGGGAAACACTTGAAACTGGCCTGGGAGAATACTTTAGGAGGAGGACCCCCTGGGCAATTGAAACAACACCAAAAATACATTTCTAGGATGTGATCAAATCAAACAGCTTTTGCATAGTCAAGAACACAGTAAGTAAAGCAAGTATTTAGCCCTCAGAATGGGAGAGGATTTGCACATTATGTTTCTGACAAAGGTTTGATAACCAGAATCCACAGAGAACTCAAACTTATAATAAGAGAAGAACAAGTAATCCCATTTCATTGTGGGCAAGAGATTTAAACAGAAGCTTCTCTGAAGAAGATAGGTGTATGGCCTACAGACACAAGAAAAAATGCTCATCATCTTTAATTATCAGAGAAATGCAAATCAAAACCATTTTGAGATACCATCTAACTCCAGTAAGAGTGGCTTACATCACAAATTCCCAAAACTACAGATGGTGGCATAGATGTGGAGAAAAGGGAACACTCCTGCACTGCTGGTAGGAATGCAAGCCAATGCGTCCCTTTTGGAAAGAAGTATGGAGAATACTCAGGGATCTCAGTGGACCTGCCATTTGATCCTATAATTCCTCTACTAGGTGTATATCCAAAAGAACAAAACTCATATTATAACAAAGATATTTGCACCAGATTGTTCATTGCAGCTCAATTCATAATAGCCAAGTCATGGAAGAAGCCCAGGTGCCCATCAACCCATGAATGGATTAATAAATTGTGGTACATGTATACCGTGGAATATTATGCAGCCTTAAAAAAGATAGAGACTTTACCTCTTTTATGTTTATGTGGAATATATCCTACTTAGTAAAGTATCTCAAGAATGGAGGAAAAAAGTATCCATCGTACTCAGTACTATTATGAAACCAATATACAATCACTCTCACTTTCATATGAAGAACAGATTGCAACTATGGCCCAGGATGAAAGGAGGAGGGGGGAGGTCAGATGGAGGGAGGGTGAATGGTGGGATCACACATATGGTGCATATTGCAAGGGTACATGTAAGATCTATTAAGTATAGAGTATAAATGTCTTAACGCAATAATGAAGTAAATGAGGTGAGGGATATATTACCAGTATGATGTAAACACTCCAAATTGTGTATGAAATCAGCACATTGTACCCCATAAACACATTAATGTATACTTGATCTACCTCTTTATGTTTTAATAAAAAAGTTAACAGATATGAATAACTTTCCTAAATAATCACCGAAAAATTTAATTGGAAGAAAGATCCTTTTCACAATGACAATAAATAACTTGTATAAGTGTAATTCAAACATGTTTAAGACCATTATCTAGAAAATTTCAAATTATTTTTTAAAAACATAAAAAGTTTTTTTTTTTTTTTTAGAGACAGAGTCTCACTTTATCATTCTCGGTAGAGTGCTGTGGCAGTGTCACACAGCTCACAGCAACCTCCAATGCCTGGGCTTAGGTGATCCTCTTGCCTCAGCCTCCCAAGTAGCTGGGACTACAGGTGCTTGCCACAACACCTGGCTATTTTTTTGTTGCTGTATGGCCAGGGCTGGGTTTGAACCCAATACCCTCAGTATATGGGGCCAGCACCCTACTCACTGAGCCACAGGCGCCACCCTAAAAGAAGATTTGAGCAAATGAAGAACTGTATTGCATCCCTGGGCTGCAATACATCCCTGGGCTGCAATACATCCCTGAGCATTCAATATGGGCTCGGCACCTGTGGCTCAAGTGGCTAAGGCAGCAGCCACATACACCTAAGGTGGCAGGTTCAAGTCCAGCCCAGGCCCGCCAAAACAACAATGACGGCTGCAACCAAAAAATAGCCAGGCGTTGTAGCAAGTGCCTCTGGTCCCAGCTACTTGGGAGGCAGAGGCAGAAGACTCGCTTGAGCCCAGGAGTTGGAGGTTGGTGTGAGCTGTGATGCCACAGCACTCTACCAAGGGCTTTAGGCTCTGTCTCAAAAAAAAAAGTTAAAGATTTAATATGAGAAAGGTGTCAGTTCTTCACAAGTTAATCCACAAATTCTATGCATTTGCAGTAAGAATTCCAGTGAGGTATTTTGTGCTACCTGAGAAGCTCATATTAAAATTCATACGGACCTCAAAAAACAAAAAATAGAACTACCATATGACCCAGCAGTTCTACTCCTGGGTATATATCCAAAGGAGGGGAGTTCAGTATATTGAAAAGGTATCTGTACTCCCTGTTTGTTGCAGCACTATTCACAGTAGCCAAGATTCAGAATCCACCTAAGTGTCCTTCAGAAGATAAATGGATAAAGAAACTGTGGTACATACATACAAGGGAATAGTGGGTAGCCCTCCAAAAAAGAATGAAATTCTGGATTTCTGGATAGAACTGGAGAACATTATGTTAAGTGAAATAAACCAAGCACAGAAAGCCAAATCTCACTCATGTGGACACTGAATATGAAAAACAATCAGTCTCATAGAGGCAGAGAATGGAATGGTGGCTGCAAGGGTCGGGAGGGTAGCGAGGGGGGATAATGTGGGGATGTCAGTGAGGCAGAAATTATAGTTGGAGTGAACAGTGTTTGATAGCACAGCAAAGTGATTGAAATCAACAGTAAGTTAGGGTATGCCTCAGAATAATTCAGAGTGGAACTGGAATGTTTCTAACACAAAGGAGTGATAATGCCTAGAGTAATAGATACTCCTATTACTCTAATTTGATGAATTCACATTGAATGCATGTATCAAAACATCACATGTACCCTGTAAGGATATATAATAAATTTGCACATATTTTGTAATAATTAAAAATGAATATTAAAAAAGAAAAAAATTTACATGGGAAAGTAAAAGACCAAGAATGGTATCATAATCAGTGTTGACAAGTGCTTGCTCTACATAGTGTTGAAACTTAGCTTAAAGCCATAGTAATTAGGACAGTGTGGTATTAACACAGGGACAGGCAGAAGAGGGGCCCTCCTGTAAATGGAATTACCAGCAGTATGTGTCAGTAGGGATGATGGACTGTTCAACAAGTGATGCTGGTACAGTGAGTTATCTGCAGGAAGCTGAATTAGATTGCTTCCTTGCTGAATATGCATAAGATCATGTATTGAATATATAAATATTAGAAGCTGAAAGTTTTACTGTATGTTTTATACATGAGAATGAAAAATACCAAATTTATAATGATGGTTATCTCAGGGCAGAAGGAAAGGCTGGAATGGGATCAGGGAAAGGGGACATAGGGGATGCAGCTGTGTAAGCAAATATGGCAAAATGCTGGAATCTGACAGTTGAGTGGTAGATACATTTGTGTTTTTATGCTTTTCTCTATATTTTTCTATATGTTTGTGGTATTTTTAAAAATTATTTATTTTCAGTGAATTTTCCTTTTGTCAAAGAGATGAATAAGCTCTACATAGTGTATTTTAAGCCTTTCAGATGTAACGATGCAGCAGAGTATGGAATAGCTGACGTTAGTTGTTAATTGAAGTACTGCTGTCCCAGATAGAAAGAGGCATGGAGGGTGCTTAGCAGTTGAACTTTTGTACTATTAACAGTAACTGAGCTGTTCTTGCCTGCTAGTTTGCCTACAAGACAGTGTGCTAGCTTTCTGGAAACACGGAATGCAAGGTAGAAGTTTTAGATCTAATGAGGTAAGTAAGCTTTTTAAAATTACAGCCATTACGTAGTCACAAGACATTAGGAAATTTCACTTTAATCAGTTTCTCTTAACTTTGCAGAATTCCTGAGTGATACAAGTAATGCTTGATTTGCTAACTTTACTAATACTTAGAGTATTTAGTCTACTGATAAAGCCAATAGCACATGCTTTATAACCCCTTTCTCTTCATTACTCAAACACTTCAGTGCATATTTAATGTTTATTCTACATGATCAATTCAGAACAAGACCTTCCTAATACTGCTAAAAATGAGTCAACTATGATTTTCTTTCAACTTCCTCTGGCCATTGCCTGGATTTAGAAAAAGAGAGCTGGTGTGGGCGCTCCCTGTCCTGAAGCCCTTTTTCTCCCTTGTATTTCAGATAATGGCCAATGCAAGCTATAAGCAAAGGGTTCTACATATCTCTTAAAGCCAACTTGCCCCCTGTTTCTGTTATCCCTATTCAGTTGACATTTACAAGATTCTTTGCCCTTTTCTCCTTCCTTTTTTATTAATGTTTTACCTGCATCTCATAAGTCTTTCCATCCTTACAGGAATAATATGGCTCCAAGCCATGTGATATAGTCAGTACAGTTCAACATTTATAGCAGGAAGTTTCGGAGCTTAAAAACATGAACAAAATATGCTACTTAACCCTCTATAATGTTAATAGGCAAGTAAAATTATCAAAAAAATCTTCCAGTACCCCAAGCTAACTTTTACTTGATCATTGGAAGAAGAGAATCCTTGAGTCCCTTGAACAAGAAAATAGCTCATTTGTTTCCTGAATTTTTGTTCATTAAGCTGAGAGTGGTTTTTCTCACAAAGTTAGGAGTATGGCGTAGTAATCATGAGCTTGGGTTCCAGAGGTGAGACACTCAGGTTGAAGTCTCAACCCTTGGGACCTTGGCGTGTCACTCAGTTGAGAGTTGTTAAGATGACATGAACATGTAATGTGCTTGACGTGGTGCCTGGCCCATAGGAAGTGTTGAAGAAAGGTAGCTGCTGATATGCTTCTAGCGAGCCATCCCCCCAGTGGGCTCACTTGTCAATAAGATCTTCTAAAATTACCTGAGGAACTAGAGCAAGGAGGTTAAGAACAGTCAACAGCCCATAAGCACTAGTCAAAGAAAAAAAAGCATTATAGGCAGAATAGAATGTTTTTTTAAAAGAACAAACAAAGAAAGATGGGCGGCACCCATTGCTCAGTGGGTAGGGCCCCAGCCGCATAAAACGTGGCTGGCCAGTTCGAACCTGGCCCAGGCCAGCTAAAGCAACAGTGACAACTGCAGCGAACAAATAGCCAGGCATTGTGGTGGGCACCTGTAGTCCCAGCTACTTGGGAGGCTGAGGCAAGAGAATCACGTAAGTCCAAGAGCTGGAGGTTGCTGTGAGCTGCGACACCACAGCACCCTAGAGGGCAACTAAGTGAGACTGACTCAAAGAAAAGAAAAAAATGAAAGAAAGAAAAGTTTGGCAAAAAATCACCTGAAGGACTTTCTCAGGCTACACAGGCAGCCCTTCAACACAGCGCCTCCAAAAATGTTATGTCCCTCTAATAGGCAGACCTCAAAATACATTGGGGATCACTGTCCTAAGCCTCTGTCAGAGAAGTGAGCATGTTGTTTTCTTCAGGTATGCTGAGTTACAGTGGCAGTTAGGAATCATTAGTGAAAATCACTAGTGTTTGCAGAAAAATGAATCGTGGGGGTTTGATGGAATGAATTTAGTTTCAAAATCAAATTGCAAAAGAATGGGAAAGATTTATGTATTGAACACTTCTTTAGTTAGGTTGTATACCACTAATCCTTACAAGAACACTGCCAAATGCTGCTTTAGCATAGATCTTTTCTTTCCTGTTTTTAAAGAAGGCAAAACCATTTCTAACAAATTACATATCTTACCCAGGGTCAGAGCTAGTAAGTGGGAGAACTGAGATTAAAACTGAAGTCAGGTATGACTCAAAGATTTCATAGTGTACACACGGCAACCTAAGAACCAGATCTCAGTGGCCCATGGCTACCAGTGGCCTTGCTGTTAACATTAGCATAAATGGCAAAGGGCTCTAGTAAATAAAGTGAAGTTGGTGCTTTGTTTTTAAGTTTTTCCCATGAAATATGTAAGTTAACAAGTATTTTCCTTTGCCTGTATTTTGTGATTAATTCAAAATTAGCCTCATTCTTCCTAGACTTGACAAATTGATGCATCTACATGCTGATTTAAATAATCATTCAGGGATGTATTTCCATCTTAGGGATTATATTTCTTTTCTGTAGAGTTATAATGAAATGCACATATAAAATTTTTTTATCTTTAATTTCAGAAATTAATTTATATTTTAACTGAACAGGTAACACAAGAAATTTCAGATAGCACAAGAATTTTCAGGCTACTTGGATCTGACAGGTATGAAAACGGGTTGTTATTAAATGCACAGTACTAAATGTTTTTATAAATCTAGCATGAAACTGGTTTCTTTTAGAAGGGATTGAACTTGTGCAATAGTATGTTGAACACTGTATTTTTCACACTATAAGAATTCACAAGTCAGAAGCTATAAAGCATTTGAAAATGTCCCTGCTCTTCCAGGTAACAGGAATTTATAGATCTGTCAGTACTGGTTTGCATTAAACTTACCATCTAAAGTCTTGATTTTTTAGCAGAAGAAAGAGGAAATACCATATACTGACAAAACAGAACTTTAGTTTTTAGTTTTTAGTGCCAATAGGATTTTAGAGCTCTATTCTAATGTAGCTTTGATTCTTGAACTGCAAATTACTTTTAGAATTTGCCATAAGAATTAAGTTTCTTTCTCCCCACCTCTGACTCTTAGAAGAACACTGGCTTAGAGGTGGGAGGGAGTGGGCAGCAAGAACTAGAGCTAGAACCGGAGCTAGAACTGGCCCTGTAATCATAGCAATAGCAAATGATTTGTGGCCACAAAACAAACAAGCAGCGTTTATAGAGGCATATAATGGAAAAGCAATGGAAAGTTTTTCTGCTACCATTTGTTTTTAAGAATAACTTTGTTTTGTTACATGTTTTTTGTTTGTTTATTACTTTTAGGGTCGTGGTTTTGGAAAGTAGGCCAACCGATAACCCTACAGCAAATAGCAATTTATACATCCTGGCGGGTCATGAAAACAGTTACTGAGAATTGTTATGCTTTGACAGTTAACTGTAGAAAGAAAGAACACTACCGCTGCAACATTAATGGATGCGTGAAGCTGTACAAAAGCTGCAGTAACCTGGCTTCAGTTACTTTGTAATTTATTGTGGCATGAGACAAGATGGGGAAAATTTTTGTTTTAAGTGGTATGGATATGTTTAGCATATTGAACCACACAAGTGCTTGATTCATTGTTATGTAATCTTTGTACATATAGGCAGTATTTTTCTGTGAAACTTCATATTGCTGAAGACATACACTAAGAGTTGATGTAGATAATGTACTTTTATGAGATGTACAAGTAAGTGTCTTATCTGTACAGATGTAAATGTTGACAAAAATGCAATTGGGGTTAATATTTTAAGAATTCTTTAGTATATTCTTGGGTGTGGTTATATTACAAAATGGGATGCTGGAAAAGAAACAGCACATTTAACACTATTGTATTTTTATTATATGTAATTTAGAATATGAATACAAATATGAATACAGATCTTGTAACTTTTAAAATTGTAATGGAGGCTGTAATCATTTTATAATCTTGTTTTTAATTTTAATGCAAGTACACTGGTGTTTATATTTGCACAAAGTATTGATATGTGATGTATTAAGTCACGAAAGTAAGCTGTGACGTCTATATGCATTTGGCTCCACAACTTCTTTTTTAAATGTATTTGGATTGTTTTCTATGTTAAACAAGCCAATTACAATAACCATCTGTTGTAGTAACTGGTCTTTTTATATTTAAGCAGAACCCTATAAGATTGCTTGTCTGTGCAAAAAACAATACCTTTGAAAAATTTGAATCACAGAATAGCGGTACCATGATGTTAACATTGCAATCATTGTCTGAATTACAGTATGCACAAAGAATAAATTAGCACAATTAAAGAGTCCACACTAAACATTTCATGTAATCACATTGAAGAACTATAACATTCCATAGAGTGAAGTAGTTCAAATTTCGTGTGGAAGTTTTACTTTGGTTGGCCTTATTTTATGATCTTTTTCTTATTTCTTTTGATTTAGAGTATTAACACATGGCCAAAATAATTTAGTTACTACCTCATACAGAAAATATATAATGGTTACTACGCATCACAGGAACCTAGCTTTGCTTTAAGTCATTTTTGATTGCTTTTTTCCCAATGGAATATGTATATACCAAGTTTTAGTAAAATGCACACTTTGGGCTCTTTTTGTTATATGTTCTTTATAATGTAAGTATATACACTAAGAACAAACTAAATTGTGATTTATGATCTTCATTTATTTTAATTGATAATGGTTTTAAATATGTTCTGCATTGTACATATTGTAAAATAAACATGTTTTTTAACATGCTGTTGTATAGTAGTTTAATCTATGTACAGAACACTAAAACATATTAAGAGAAAGGAACTTTATTAAATTGTTTTGTATTTAAATTCTGAAGTACCAAGTTCTGGTCCCTCATAATTTGATTTTTATTTGATCTGATCTCAATTTCATGAAACAGTAATACCCTCTCATTTGAGAAGAGAGCATGTTTTATAGAATTTTTAACTTTCTTTTTCCTTTTTTTTTTTTTTTTTTTTTTGAGACAGAGCCTCAGGCTGTCCCCCTGGGTAGAGTGCTGTGGCATCATAGCTCACAGCAACCTTCAACTCCTGGGCTCAAGCGAGTCTCCTGTCTCAGCCTCCCAAGTAGCTGGGACCACAGGTGCCCGCCACAATGCCTGGCTATTTTTTGGTTGCAGCCATCATTGTTGTCTGGCAGGCCCAGGCTGGATTCGAACCTGCCACCTTGGGTATACGTGGCTGGCGCTTTAACCACTTGAGCCACAAGCGCCGAGCCAAATTTTTAACTTTCTGATCAGAAAAGTAATTAAGCATCTGTAGTTTTTCGGTTAGAGGAGGAGTGGGCAGACTACAATCCACAGTCCGCCCCACTGCCTATTTTTGTAAATAAGGTTTTATTGGGACACAACTCCACATTCATTTGCATGTTGTCTATGACTGATTCTATGCTACAGTGTTGGAATGGAATGGTTTCCAAAAAACCGTATGGCCTGAAAAACCTGGAATGTTTACTGTCTGACTCTTTACAGAAAAAAATTGCCAGCAGCTGGGTCAGAGAAAGGAGGTAAGGAAAGGGAAGATTAAGTGAGAAGAACAGTATTGGGTGCCAAGAGGCACCACTATTGCTTCTGCTACTACCTGTCACGATGCCGTGAATAAATTGCCTTGACTAAAATAGTTCCCACGTTTAAAACGATACAGGTGCTAATAATTGTAATGATGGTTATGTGTTCATTTATCACTTTTCCCAAATACAGTTTGAATAATCTTAGCATTAATGACTGATTTATGACTATGATTTAAAACACATCTTGATGTAATATAACATTGTCATCAATTTGCTAAAAACCAGACTCAAGAAAAAAGTTTTTGAGAAATTAAGATTCTGTTCTTGGCTCTAGTTAACAAAGTTGTTAATCCTTTTTCTGGACCTTTTTTTATTTTTCAGTTCCAAGACCTGTGAAGTTAATATAAAGGGTCATATCTCATAAAATGTTACTTGCCACATTTTTCTTTTTCTGAGACAGTCTGACTGTCACCCAGAGTAGAGTGCTATGGCATCATCAAAGCTCACAATAACCTCAAACTCTTGGGCTCAGGCTGTCCCCTTACCTCACCCTCCCAAGTAGCTAGAACTACAGGCACTGACCACAATGTCTGGCTAGTTTTTCTATTTTTAGTAGAGACGTGGTCTTGCTCTTGCTCAGGCTGATCTTGAACTCCTGAACTCAGGCTGTCTACCCACCTCAGCCTCCCATAGTGCTAGGATTACAGGTGTAAGCCACCATGCCTGGCCTAATTGCCACATTTAACTGTTAAGCACTCAGAAACATTTTCAAAATATGAAGTATACAATTGGTTGTTTATTACCAAGAGACTTAAAAAATATCCCTGAAGTGAAAATCTTTGGGGTGAGGTCCAGCAACATACAGGGTGGCCATAAAGTTTGTGTGCAATTTTGTGAAGTTGTATAAATCTGATTACCAGCCCAGCATAAGAACCACGGGCATTGGCTCGGCGCCTGTGGCTCAAGTGGCTAAGGCACCAGCCACATACACATAAGGTGGCAGGTTTGAATCCAGCCTGGGCCCACCAAAACAACAATGACAGCTGCAACCAAAAAATAGCCAGGTGTTGTGGTGGGCACCTGTGGTCACACCTACTTGGGAGGCGGAGGCAGGAGACTGGCTTGAGCCCAGGAAATTAGAGGTTGGTGTGAGCTGTGATGCCACAGCACTCTACCCAGGGGGACAGCTTGAGGCTCTGTCTCAAAAAAAAAAAAAAAAAAAGAACCACGGGCATTAAATTTAAATCAGAGTTTCCAAGTATGTCTAAAGATTACCTGCCTCAGAAAGAATCATCTTTGATAACAGTTGAAAATGCAAATTTGGGGCCAGGAGTAGGGGCACACACCTGTAATCCTCGCACTCTGAGAGGTAGAAGTGGGAGGATTACTTTAGCTGAGGAGATTGAGACCAGCCTGAGCAAGTGGGAGATCTCATCTCTAACAAGAGATAAAAAAAAATTAGCCAGGCATGATGGCACATACCTGTAGTCCCAGCCACTCAAGAGTCTGAGGTGGAAGGATCCCTTGAGCCCAGGAATTTAGAATTTCTCTTGCCCAGGTTAGAGTACACTGGCTACACAGAAGCCACTGTACTCTAATGTGGGCAACAGAGTGAGACTCTGTCTCTTAAAAAAAAAAAAAAAGGAAAATGCAAATTTCTAGGCTCCACCCAAAAACTTTTTATTATGGATCTTTATGAACTCCAAAGGAAGAAAGTCACTTAAATGTTGGGAATAATCTGTTCATCTTAATTGAAATTCAAGCTATCTTAGCTAATTGCATAGACATTTTTGAGAAGAATGTGGTCAGTTGTTTACAGACGTATTGTCCTATGCGCTTACAAGTGTGTCTCTGATTTTAGCAGAGACCAAGATGTAAAGGATGGATTATATCAGCTTTCACCATTCCTGGTAGAGACGTGAAAGGATATGCCATAGGAAATAACGGGTAAATACTGAAAGAGTATATAGTAGTAAGTTCCCCATGCACGTATCTACCTGCTGTTTGTCGTCCCATGTTAGCCATAGAGCTCCCCAAGGAGGGTAAGTACTGTCAACTCCATTTTACAGAAGAACTTAGGCACAGAAAGCTTAAATAACTTGCCCAGGACTGTAGGTGGTAAGTGATAAGGCTAAAATTTGAACCTAGGCACTTGGTTCAAAGTATATTCTTTTAACTGCTGCTAGACTGTTTACATAGAATATATGCAGTATATTCACTGCCCACAAAAATACACTCTTAGCATTTTTCCCTATGAAATAGAATTTTTTTTCCAAGTGTTGGGTTTCAAATTCTGATTTTCTCTTTGCTACAAGATAAATTAAATTTGTGTCTTATTTGTTTGCTTTATCAAAAAGCATTTTTCTTATCCAAAGTTGTTTTTATGAGACAAGGTCTTGTCCCATTGCTTGGGCTAGAGTGCAGTGGTATCATCCTAGCTCACTACAACCTCAAACTCATGGGCTTAAGTGATCTCCTGCCTCAGCTTCCCAAGTAGCTGGGACTGCAGGTGCCTGCCACCATACCCAGCTAATTTTTCTATTTTCTGTAGAGATTGAGTCTCACTCTTGCTCAGGCTGGTCTAGAACTCCTAGCTTCAACTGATCCTCCTGCCTTGGCCTCCTAAAGTGCTAAAATTATAGGCTTGAGCCACTGTGCCCCACCCAAAGCGTTCTTTATAAGGATAAAACAATTTACAGAAAATGAACTTTAAAGTTAAAGTGTAAAAAGTCTACTAGTCAGGTTCAGTGGCTCACTCCTATAATCCTACCACTTTGGGAGGCCAACGCAGGATAATTCCTTGAAGCTGAGGGTTCAAGACCCGTCTGAGCAACATAAACCCCCATTTCTATAAAAAATTTAAAAGTTAGTGGAGTGTGGTGGTGTGTGCCTATAGTCCCAGGTACTCAAGAGGCTGAGGCAGGAGGATTGCTTGAGCCCATGGTTTAAGGTTGCAGTAGGCTATGATGAGGCCACTGCATTCTAGCCCCAATACTAAGAGCAAGACCCTGTTTAAAAAAAAAGAAAAAGATTGCAACTAAGTTTTTTTCTTTTGTGAAACAATTACATAAGCAACATGTATTGATTATTTACAGTTTATCCAAGCATTTTACTGGCACTGGACTAAAGATGGAAAGGCATAATTCCCAGCCAGTATCATGCAAGGACCATGCTTGGATGAATAAAGACAAACATCAGTAAATAGCATTAAAAAGGTAGAAAAAGTTTCATCTAATTGTGTTTTCGGAAAAGGAAAATCCTATGTAGAAGAATTGTATAGAATATGTAAACCAGAGAGTTGACAGATGAAGAGTTTATCGTGAGTGGGGAGAAAGCAGGGGAGGAAGCTGTGGCCTAGATGAAGGCAGGAGAAAATAACTGTGTTGGAGGAATGGTGATGTCGAATGGGGCAGAGAATGGAGCCCGAACCTGGAAGTTGGGCCTGGTTGTGAAGAATTTCCTATAGAAAAGTAGGCAGAAATCGACAGTTCAGAAACTGCAGGTCAAGTATCATGATTACTTGTGTACTTGATGAGATAATTTTCTGTAGCATTATGAAGGCAGAGATTAGAAATAGGTAGATGTGAGTTTATGAGAAGATTTGAGTTTAGTGAAGTGTTTTTGGACTTGGAGGAAGGAGATACAGGTTTCTGGTTTGATTTTCTTTGCTGAAGATAGAGATTTGAGATTATTTCTAAGCAAATGAAAATGGGGAAAAATTGAGATGAATGAGAAAAATGGGAGGAGAGTCAACTGTGCAGAAAAAGGGAAGTGTGGACGTCCACTATGTGGGCGCTTTTGTTGATGCTAAAACATGGTATGTATGTGCTCATTAGCAAATACTGTTTTTAAGCTGATCCTGGAAACAAAAATCCTCTTTCCCAATGTTAATGCGTTTATCTCCGTGTAGCTTTCATCGCATTGTTTGCTTGACTTTTTCTTTTTGAGACAGAGCCTCAAGCTGTCACCCTGGGTAGAATGCTGTGGCATCACGCTCACAGTAACCTCCAACTCCTGGGCTCAAGCCAGTCTCCTGCCTCAGCCTCCCAAGTAGCTGGGACTACAGGAGCCCACCACAACGCCCAGCTATTTTTTGGTTGCAGCCGTCATTGTTGTTTGGCGGGCCGGGCTGGATTCGAACCCGCACCTTAGCACCTTGAGCCACAGGTGCTGAGCTCGTTTGTTTGACTTTCTTCCCCTGTTGGTTCTGAGTCAGCCCCGGAT